CCTACCCCCCCATTCCCCCCCTCTTTTGCTCATGAGACAGAGATGTCAAAGAGAAAGCAGTGGAACAAATTAATATAGCAAACTGTAATTAATCACAAAATGCTATACTGTATTTATTCAAGAATTCAGCAAGATTTTAAGAATTAAACAGCTGCCCTGCTTAAGAAAAGAGAACAAACTTAATCTATCATTAAAATCACTTCTCGCATTGGAGCTTTGCCTGTTTGGAAAAGGCCAACAAATGGGCTTGGGAATTACAAGCCAGTAAGCCTGACTTCAGAACCAGGTAAATTAGCGGCAAAAAAAAATAATTAAAGATGGCATGATGCGATAGGGGCAAACAGCAGGAAAGAGCGTTGCCTTTGCAACCTAATAAGATTCTTTGAGGGAGCCAGCAATGCAGTGGAGAAAAAAAGAGGGCTGGCAGATAAAATGTATTAGACTTCTCCAAAGTCTTTGATAAAGTTCCCCAGAAGAGGCCATTAAGAAAACGAGGTAGGCATGGGGTGAGAGGTAAAGATCTGTTATCGATTAGGAACCGACTAAGACATCACGGAAAATAAAGCAGGAATAAACCATCAGCTGAGAAAGTTAATAAGAAGGCACTCCAAGTATCCATAGTTTCACTCCATTCTAGTTCCGAACAATTTAGCTTCCTACAAAAGCCTTTATTAAAATCCTATCAATTAAAATCATCTCGAAGCTGCAGAGGAGCACTTTGTTCCAGGGATGCCTCCGTTATAGCTACTCCCATCCCAGCTTTATGGAATAATGTATATGTAAGCATTAATGGATTAAATCTGGCTGAAATAAATGGATGCAGGCTAGTGAATTGGGGGAGACTCGTCCTCAGATAGTGTTTCAAGCTCCCATTTTATTAGACAATACAAAGTTCTGGGGGCAGCCTTTTCCTTTCCTTTGTGAGGCGAGCACAGGAGAAACCTGTTTCTTTTTACATCCCCACTGGTTTGAGGGATGTGTAGTTACAAGTAGCCAAGAGGCATTAGTGCTCACACGCAAGGTGATGCTGAATGCAAAACTCTCATTGGGTTCACTGAGCATTACTGCTGTAGAATTGTGCTTAGGAGGGTTGCAATCTTCTAGCCAGCAGTGTCTATTGAAGAAGTCTCTTTAGCTATTAGCTGAACAAAATGGTAAAGCAATGACCATTTCCTCACTTGGCACCTATGCCACCTTCCAAGTTGCCCAAAGCCCTTTGACTGACATTTGATTCAATAAAGGTATCTTCTAACCTAGGGGGATGACCCAGCCTAAGTCTTCATGAGATGAAATGCCCAGTTTTATATCTTCTGCTCTCTGGGGTAAACACAGCAATAGTTTCTGACTTAGTGATTTTAATTTATATTGGCCCCAGTCATACGGCAAAGTTGCCACGGGAGAGGCACAGTAGTCCCGTGGATTTTCTGGGCGCGATCTCACCCCAACATCTGGGAAGCGCAGTGCTCCCGTGGCGAACCCGTGGCTACCCGCGAAGGTGCGGAGTTAAAAACCAGTACCTACGAGGTACTAGTTTCCTGAAACCGCGGGCCAAGGGCGGGCGTCTGATCACGTTCCCGGTGCATTTACGTGGCATATGGTGCCCGCCGCTGTTTGTCTTTGCAGGTTGCGCAACAGCGTCCAACAGCGCATGTGCACAAAGAGCGATTGCTAGTGCGATTGCGTGGCGTGGCTCCTGTGCCGTACTGCAGGATACCCGTCTGATCGGCATTTTCCCTGAACCACGGGACCTTGACCGGGACGTGTGCTCAGGCAGCCACACGTTAGTTTCCACTGGGGCAATTAGCCACACCACGCCTCCCCCCCGCGATATCCGGCCTGTGAGACCGGGGCCTAAAATGGAGGGACTTGATTGCAACAAGGCTGTAGTGTTTTCCACTAGCCACGGTGACCAAATGCCAGATGCTGAGTGGACATTTTTGCTGAGCTATCCATCACTTCCTGAAATAGAATAGTTGTCACACAATTGCCACTCATTGAGTTTGCAGAGATCCTTTTGGAGCTCCTCACAATCCACTCTTGGTCCTTACCATCCTGAATAATTTGGGTCATCTGCAAGCTTGGTCACTTTGCTGCTCATCCTTACTCCAGTTCATTTATGGACAAACTGAATGGCACCAGTAGATCCTCTATTGCAAGAATTGTCTATTTACTTCTACTCTCTGCTTCCTGTTGTTTTACCAGTTTCTAATCTACAATGGGACTCCTCTTCTTATCATGGGACTGCTAAGTTATTCAAGAAACTTTAGTGATGGTCTTTGTTAGTAGGTTTTGGAATATGATGTCTACGATGTTTGTTAAGCCTCTCACGGAATCCCAAAAGGGTGATGGTGAGTTAGAACCTCCCATTACAGAAGCCATGCTGATTCTTCCTCAGTAAAGCTTGTTCTTTTTCGCACTTCATGAATTATATCTTTAGCAACAGTTTTCATCAGTTTCCCTATAACAGACATTTAGCTAAATTGCCTGTCATTTCCTGGTTCTCCTCTGGATCCCTGTTTAAAAACTAGTGTTATTTTCACTACCTTCCAATCCTCAAGGGGAAAGAAGGATCAGATATGCCCTCCTGTAGCTTCATTCAGTTTAGTATCAAACTCTGGCTATTCCTGCATTCACCTGAGACATCTCTCCCCTCAAATAAACCTCTAATTATGTTAAAAAACTGCAACCGCAAGGGGCTATATTACCCATGACTAGAAGGGTGCAGCCTGACAGATCAACTTTCTCACACCTACTCAGTGCATGTTCATCCTAACCTTTCTCCAAGGAATCCAGGGTGCCATTCATGGTTTTCCTTTCCATCCTCACAACAATCCTGCAAGGTAGGTTAGGCTGAGAGAGGGCAACAGGCCCAAAGATATCAGTAACAGCTGCAATTCAGGCCATGTGCACATTCCTCCTTTCGCCCTTGCAGTATTGCCTCCCAAATGCAGACTCCCCTCTGGCCTCTTCCCTGCATCCTAGCTTTACTAGACTCTTGTTTCTTTAATCACTCATTTCCTAGGGTATTCTGTCCACATCTGGAATCAGAGCAAGCAGAAGCCCTTTGATGTACTCATCATTGCCAGAGACTTTACCAGCATGCAATCTGCAAATCCCATATATAGCAATTATGGTCCTATCATGTGGAAAAAAGCAAATATCCTGCCACTTGTGGCTGAAATACTTTGCTGTGAGTATACCAGACAGGGAAGCTCTGACCACAACTACAGTTGCTGGTAGACAGCTCATCCTGCCTGACACTTTCAGCCATCATGAGCCGCCCCCAGAAGGCAGCAGTGGACCCCAAGCTTTGAATTTTCATGAATTATAATATTTGAGTAGACAAAAGCAGACAGGACCCAGAGGTCATTGTTGGAAGAACACATTTAGCCTCACTGTAGAAATCTGGAGTGCTTTCCAAGTTGGTCATGGTATGGATATCTCACACCCAGTGCTTAAACATAAGGACATCTAGCACTGATGTAGTTCTTCATAGAGTACCTCAGTATAATTCAAGGTTTTCACCCCATGTTTGTGTAACCTCGCAGAGCCCTTCACCTGCTGAAATGAAAACCAAGCATGTGTAACTGGAAGGGAGGTAGTCTTCCCAGTTTATCCCCCCCTTCCCCTATATAGCCACCTTTGGGGGGCAGTCTTCTCACACATTAGGATAGCAACCTCCTCATGAGCTGGAGGCAGAGGAGAGATTCGAACTGGTCTCTTATGAACTAACAGTCCAGCCTCAGCCCATTTATTGCACCAGACTTCTCCAGAAACAGTGCTGTCAAGAGGCACCAGCTCATCTTCTAGTGTCCTGGCCCCACTGGAGGGCTTCTAATGTCCTGGCCCCACTGGTGGACCTCCTGATGGCACCTGGTATTTTTGGCCACTGTGTGACAGAGGGTTGGACTGGATGGGCCATTGGCCTGATCCAACATTGGCGTCTCTTATGTTCCTCATACAGCCAATTCATTGAATGAGCTTCTATTAAATAACACTGAACTATCTCTCTCTCACACACACATACACAGACAGTGTGTGAGAAGGCTGGATGCTCAGCCTAGGCTATAAGCCGCTCACCACATGCCTGCCCGGGAAACTCTCTTCTACTCGATTCCTTTCAATGCACAGGGACCAACTGAGCAAGAAAGAAAAGGGAGCAGGAGCGACAACCTTCCCAATACACCGCCCAGTGCCATATCTCGAAATCCACGTACTGCTACGCATGCACTAGCGACCTAGCAAGACGAGATCACTAAGCTATACCTTTTCTCTGATGATCCTCTCCCCCCCCGTTAGGGTTGCTCTAATCTGAGGGGGAAAAGAGGGCACCCGGGATCGGACCGCGGCGAGAACCCCCTCCCCGCCCAATGAGTGCCGAGGATCCGCCACGCGCTTCGATTACAGGTCGCCGCGCCCGCCTCCACCTCCGCCAATCCGCCCCTTTGTTTAGGGTTAACGGGGTGAGGAGGGGCGCGGTTGCCCGTCAAGGCCACTGGCCAATAAGAGGGCTTGCATCCGAGCCGGCCTTTGGCCCCGCCCCCTCTCCCAGTTCGCTCTCACTCCCCTCCCCACCTTTTAGTTCAGCGGTGCGCTGCAGCCGTCCCATTCGCCGGGCGGTGATTTGCGTCACCACCTTCCCCCGCCTCTCCTTCGGCTGCACTCTCTCCCCGCGCCGCGACTGGCTGTCAAAACTGTCATAGGAATACACCTTCTCCCCACCTTGTAATACCATTGGCCACCCCCTCCTCTGTCAGCACTCGCCGCCTCCGTCCCTCACACCCCCCTCCCTGCAATCATGGCCGTTGGAGCGCCTCCGATACGCCTCTCCTCTCTTATCCCGCCCACCCGCTGAGCCAGCCGCCCGTAGGCCGTGGGCGCTATCAGTCAGGCCCAGCCTCTCTTCCGGCCCACCTCCGGCAAACGGCGATTGGATGAGTGGGGCGTCAGTGCATTCGGGAGGCCAATGGGAAGCCCGGGGCGTGTGTGAAGAGGCGGCGCGCGCGCGGCGGCCGGCCCGGTGGTGGTGGTTGTGGTAGTGGTAGAGAAGGAAGCGGCGGCCGCAGCAGGAGGGGCCGCGACGGCAGGGGAGTGTCAGCAGAAGCAGCGGCGGCAGCGGCGGAAACGGAAGCAGCGGCAGGAGGAGGAGGAAGAGGCGGGCGGAGAGGAGGCGGTGGCGGCGGCAACGGCAGCGGCGCGCGCGCCTGCCTAGTCCCGGTCGCGAGGAGGAGGCGGTGGAGGAGGATGTGGCGCGCGGAGGGGAAATGGCCGCCGAAAACAAGCCGGAAGGTGAGCGACCGAGAGCGGGTAGTGGCGGCGGCGGCGGCGGGAGAGCAAGAGAGGAGAGACTGACTGAGGGCAGCACGCGAGAGCACGCATGCGCGCGACCCTTCAGATCTCCCCCTTTTTACTTGGGTGCTGGCTTGCCCGGGGGGCGGAGAGTGGCACGGCGGGCCGGGTCCCGTTCGCCCAAAGTTCCCTGCAACTGCCGGCGGTATTGTCTGTCCCGGCGGGGGCCGTGAGCGCAACTGCCCCTGGAGGGCGGGGCTAGTGCGGGGGGCCACTTGGGCGGGCTGGGAAGTCCCTCCCCTGGCCCCTCCCTCCTGCTTTGCATGTCCTCTTAGCATGCCAGGGAGGAGCGTGTGTCGTGGTGCCAAGGGGCAGCTCCCTCCTGGGGAAGCTGACCGTGTGGACCTGTCTGCACTGTTAAAAGTCTGCGTGTGTGTCTGAATGCACCTCTCCTTTGGAAAGGGAAAACAAAAAAGAGGGGAGGAGGGAGGGGGGGTGGAACACCTGGGCATGGGGGAGAGTCCTCACATGAATGTTGCCCAGTTTGTAGAGCGCAGCACAGTGGGGCATGTTCTGAAATTAGGCTGGCTGGGCTCTGTCAGGCTGTGATGACGTGTTGAGGTAAGGTCCTGTGTTCCGAGAGGATGGGTGCCTGGCAGCTATCACATGCTCATGCACTCGTATGCGCTCATGCTCGCCAGAGATGTAAGCATCTATTTTTCTCTGTGAGCGGGTAGTTGCTAGTAGGGCAGGCTTGACAAGGCAAGGGGATGGTGGGACACCTGTTCTTGCCTGGTTTTGGGAAGGTCTGGGAAAGTTGCACCTGTGCTTTGAGAAAGTGAAGTATTGATGTTTATCTACTTGGGGGAGAGGGTGGGCTTGTGTTTCCCTGGTGCTAGAAAGGGCACGGTTATTCCGTGTCCAATTGTTTAAAAAACATCATAGGTTTAGAGCTCTTTTGCTTGGATTAACTCTAGTCCCAGGGATCACGGAAAAGGTGGTTTGTCCCCCTTGTACTAGCATGTACTGGAGAAATTAGGTCTTTAATTCATCAAGAGAGAAGTCTACCTGTGATGGCTGGCACAAACATGGTGATATCCTATTGTGAAGGCAGGCTAAGACATGGGGGTGCATTGGAGTCACACCACACATTGCATTGCTGTGCAGTTCTATTGTAGGTGCACAAGTTCCCACTATTCTCGAAGTTGGGAAGAAGGGACGTATTTCTGGTGGCTGCACCAAAATGAGAGGCGGGAAGCAACGGGGTTTGGGGCATGTGCAAGGGGAATCTGCGCATCCAACCTTTTTGATAGGGAACGGGCTTTCGGTTTTCCCTGACGAAGGCAGAGCGTAAGAGTGTAAATCCTCTTTCTCCTTGACACCCAACATGGTCAGAGTGAAGCCCTTGAACATTTCACTTCTTGAATCTGTGGAAAGCGGTGGGTGTATGATTGCTTATCCTTTGGCCATAGAGGTGGGGACTGTTTCTTGCAAAAAACAAGTGCATGGGGGCTGAAAGCCAAAAAGAGAGCATGCATATGTGCAAGAGAAATCCCCCCTGGTAGTATCCTGTGCAACTCCTGTAATAATATGGTGATGGACAGGCAATGTGAGAATAGCTCGTTTGCTTTTCTCTTTCTTAGAGGATAGGGCAAATCTTTTAGATGATGGATCACAGTATCTCATGATGGCAAGGGCGATTGCTATCTTTTGTCCCTTCATATTGTTCAAAGAAAAGATGGTTTCACTGATTGGTGGTGCCTGTCAATGTACGATAGGTGCAGAGAAGAGCATATAGAAGAACTGATTTGTTATGTATCTGTGGCCCTTTATGTGGGTTTGTATGGTCATCCACATATCAAGGATAAAACACAGTTTTCTATGCAGGTACCTGCCAAGAAGCATCTTTTACTACATGGACAGAGGAATATGTTTAATGACATTTTCTTAGGCCCTAGGCACATGTTTATATTTGGCCTATATGCCTCCTTTATACTGCCTTCTCTTATCTTCACTCCATGTTTTGCATTTGGATAGTCTTTAAGCCCTAAAGGGCAAAGACTCATAGTTCAGCTTTAGGCTTGTCTCTTGTGACATAAAACCATCTGACAGAGGACATACATTTAACACGATTGATCAGCTCTCTTTCACCTCTCTCACCTCCTGGCACCTTTTTTTGGTTTTCCCATATATGCCCCAGTAGGTGGTGCATTAGAATGTAGCTGCTCCTTTGTGGGTGTTCTCCATCTGTCTTGTGTCCTGAGGCAGGCAGAGCCTAATGTGGTACACCTTCCATAAGAAATTAGTTGGTCATGGCAAACGTAGCTTGGCAATGCAAGCCATTGATAGGGGCGGGAGGATTGGCATTCTTAATTTTGGGTAAGACTCCTTCAAGTGAGAACAGCTGCCATCTACTTTGGATTTGGAATTTGATTTGTTTCTCATCTAGGTGGTGTATATGCATAATGTAGGGTGTTAGTACCACCCTTTTGTCAAACAGTCCATGTAGAAGGCAGGAGAGCATGTAGAGTTGGGAGACCAGTGTGCCTGGTTCTGCATAGTAAATGCTGCAAGTTCTTTCAAAAAGCATTGCTCTTCTCTTGGTAGTAGAAGACGTGGATCTCCCCCAACCTCTTGTTACATTCTGAATGTTTACTACCCTTACAGGTCAGTTTTCATCTTTCTCACCACTGTCAAATTGATTTGATTATGCATACTGCGTGTGTGAATCAAGAGTTCTGTGTTAGCGTTTGGGACAAGTCCATGTATATTTAGACTTCGTATTCAATCCAGTGGGGTTGCTTACCAGATCACCCTCTTGTGCCTTTTTCTTCTCTCCTACTGTAGGTTGTAATGTATGTTTGCATCCTCATAGTGACATGGGTGTTAATTACTTCAGTCCCACAAAATAGAATCGAAACGTTCAGTAGCTTCAAAGTGTGCATGCACTTCCTTTCTAGTTTGGATTGCGTGAGTAGTGTGACTTGGCCTTGCAGTGGCAAAGGTCAGTTTTTAAAAATTAGACTGCACCTAAAAATGCAAGTGTGAAATAGTATGTATGGGAGGTAGCTTTGGGGACCAGACTTTGTGTGTATTTTTGTGATTAACTTTTAAGGTTGGTCACATCTGAACCGAACAAGCCACTAGTGGGTTTATAAGATAGGATGCTGTAAATACTTGTTTGTAAGGAGAGTATAGCAAATGCACCCCTTGAAATTATGGTTGATATGAATGCAGATGTCCTTTCTAAGATTAAATAATATGTCAAATAATATGCTTTTATGTGTTCTTTTTTTAAAAAAAGTATAATCTAGTATAATCAAATCACTTTTGGGGTGAATTCACAAAAAGGGATTGAGAATTTTGCTTGATGTAACATAGTAAATAGTGTTGCTTCAGAGTTCAGAACAATTCCTGATAGCTACTAAATATGACCTGTGAGCAAGCGAGTTAAAAGCCTGGGCATTCTTGGTGGAAGTTGAAGGAAACGAGTTCAGTTTAGAAAATCAAAAGATCAAAGATAAGGTTTTTGTTGCATATCCACAAGGGGGTAGTGATGTACTGTCTAAGAAATTTGTTGTAGAAGAGTTGGCTGATCCCTTTAAAAACACATTAAATATACAGATCAAGGTAGTATATTTGCATTTTAACTTAATGAAATCTTTAAAAAATGCGAAAGTAAATATTTTAAAGAATTAAATATTCTGCTTTATTTTGGTCGTGTGGCCTTTTGGTGCTTTGGATGGTCAAGCTTTCTGCCCAACCATTCAGTGCCGGGATCCACACATTCTTCCAGGGCACATGTTAAAGATGTGAAATATTCTTTTCACATAATTCTTCAGAAGCAGTAAGATGAAATGAGGGGGTGGGGAGAAAAGCTGTGCCCAAACTTTAGCCATATGGATGTAATAATAGGTTCATTATGACAAGTAGGGAATGTTTACTGTTGAGATTGAAAATGAAACCCCAAACAGTATAAACACCCCCCCCCATATGTAGTGATTTTATTTTCTGCTTTAGTATTTTTCCCTTCATTTACATAACATAGTCAGAAGCATTATGCTACATCTCGTATTTGTGTAACACCAGCAGAGCTGGAAATGTATTTTACATTTCTAGATGTCAGCATCATTTTTTTTTTTAGTGTTTGCTATCAAATTAGATGCAAGCCGTGCACTACATCACATTGCTAGGCGCACACGTGACCAGACATTTTGTGCGTCCTGGGACATTCCCAGTCCTGCATGATGAAACTGAGGCAGGCTGCCTGTCGTCTCGTGCAAGTCTTTGCACTAACCTATGTCTGAATATAAAGGCACAAAGTACCGTTTTAGTTTGGCACTTGTGCCACAACAATATAGAATGTGGTATTGTTGGTGTGTTTGCTATATTCAGCAACAGAAGGGAATAAGCAATATGCAAAGCTAACTTTTTTAAACATGGTAGGCAAAAGGAATGGCATTCAGTCCTGTGTGCATAGCTCCTAGCGCATTAAAAGCCCTCATTTGCAGCTGTCCATATGAGACTGAAAAGCCCTGATGCTTTTTTCTTCCTTCACGCAATCAGTGTCCTGAGCTCCTGAATCCATTATTTCTACATATTCTGATTCTTTGATCTGAAGTAGGGTAAGGGCTCGTACATCATCATAGTAACGGTGATACGAATCAGGATAACACAGATGAAATGGGGGAGGAAATGGAGAACCCCATGCTGACTTTGCCTTTTTGGGCTTTTTTGGTGAATATGCAACAGTGTTTTCCCACATAAAAATTCATTTTGACAGCTTGAATGTTAAGGTGAGTGGATTTCACATGGATCCGTAGCTATTAAATGATGACGTTGCTTGAATGATGTAATAAGCTTTCTTCCTATAATCAGGAAGTGTAGCTCTTTTGGGACTTCTCGCATCTGAAGTTAGCTCCGGCTGCTTATTCTGAAATAAATGTTAGTGTTTCAAGTGCCACTGGACTCCTGTTTTATTTTGGGACTTAAACAGCCGT